CAAGCAGTTGTCTCTTGGGCACTGCGGTCACGCTCCCAGGTCACTAAGACCACTTCTAATCCGATTTCCTTTTCAGGTACCTCCAGAAGAACCCTTCCACGTTGTGGGCAACCGGGAAGTGATAACCGCCCTCATACCTCTAACAGCACTCAAGACCACTGGATTCATAATCAACCTCCCTCTTCAATTCCTATTATTCCTCCTACATCGACTTTCAACTCTAAATTTCCTCTTTCGGCTTCCTCCAAAAGTGTCACCATAGCCAACAATTCTAGTGCTCAAAACACTGTCCCAAGTCTACTGTAACCTCGCTCCAAACTACACATTGGAGCCTTTAGCATTCGAACCCTATGTCAACTCGGTCAGCAGGCTTCCTTGGCTAGAACCCTGGAGTCTCATACCATTGATATGTGCTGTCTCCGAAACACGCATACAGGATATCAGTGTGGTTATTCACTTGACCTCACCTCGGCAAAACGGAGAGCCAACGAGATACACCCTCTGTGTATCTGGTGTCCCGATGGCCAGTTCTCTTGGACTGGCAGGTGTAGGCATAGCACTAAGCATGAGGGCCGAACAAGCACTTGTAGAGTGGATCCCAGTCAACAGTCATCTATGTGCTGTTCGGCTAAACGGCTCCATAAGTACTCGGAAGGATGGGTACACATGTCGTTGCCTTTTTGTCGTTTCTGCCTACGCTCCCACTGACTGCAGCTCAGATGAAGTGAAAGATGACTTTTACAGAAAGCTGTCCGAACTTCTTCAGAAACCTAAACGTTCAGACATAGTACTCGTAGCAGGTGACTTTAATGCCCAGATAGGTAGTTTAAACCAAACAGAAAGGCATTTAGGTGGGTATTTTAGTATTCTGTCTCAGTGAACAGATAATGGTGATCGTCTGCTGCAACTTTGCTCAGACAATCGCTTATTTTTAGCAAACACAAATTTTAAGCATAAAGAGAGATATCGTCTAACATGGCGATCTCCTGCACTAAACCAACGATGGACTCATATAGACCATATTGCCATCAGTCATCGTTGGAGAGAGTCGGTAGAAGATTGTCGCTCATTCTGGAGTACCTGCTTGGACTCCGACCACGCCCTAATACGGGCACGCATCTGCTTGCGCCTCACTGGACGCAAAAAAGCCACATTAAAAAGACCCATTAGAACTGAGTTGAGTAACGAGAAAGCCAAAAGTAAGGTCCAGGAACAACTGATGTCACATTTAGGTAGTGCTGAAGACGAGGGTGACCCAGATGTTGCTTGGAAAGATATACAAACAGCTGTGGAAACAGCAATGAAATCTATTAGTGACTTAACCCACAGAGTTACAAAGAACCAGTGGATTTCTTCATGGTCTATCACACTGATGGATTCTCGCAAACTCGCCCATCAGGTTCCGAACATGATGAAGAGCGACAACAAATCAGATCTAGGTTAAGAAAAATTCTAAGAAACGACCGTGAGCAGTGGTGGGCAACGAAAGCAAAAGAGATGGAAAAGGAGGCGGCTATAGGGAACACAAGACAGCTCTACAGACTAATAAAAGAAACTGGAACTAATAAGTGTAAATGAGATTATTTCGGAAAAGGACGATACTCTCATCTACTCCCAGTTCAGACGTTTAGAACGATGGGCGGAACACTTTAGGGAACAGTTCAGCTGGCCTTCAGCGACTCTACAACTACCGTCCATTCCCAGACAGTGTGAATGGAACATTGAAGTAGGTCCCCCAACTCTAGCAGAAGTTCAAAAGGCTATAGTTAATCTGAAACGAGGAAGGGCGGCTGGTCCAGATGGATTGGCTCCAGAAGTCTTTAAGGATGGTGGTCCAATTTTAGCGGTTAGGTTGACTAATATTTCAGCTAAGATCTGGGAGTTAGATGTTATTCCATCTGACTCGTCGCCATCACTTATCGTCCCAATATATAAGAAAGGATCAAAATCATCTTGTGACAACCATAGAGGGATTAGTTTAACAAATATAGTATCTAAAATACTAGCCTCAATAATAATCAGACGCCTAACTAAGACTCGTGAACTGCAAACACGAGAAAAACAAGCTGGCTTCAGACCTGGTCGTGGCTGCATCGACCACATATTCACCATTCGTCAGGTTCTAGAACACAGGCATACTTATCGACGTCCGACAATGGTGGTCTTTCTTGACTTAAAAGCAGCCTTTGACTCGGTAGACCGCGAGATCCTGTGGCAGTCTGTCATTGAAAGGCGTACCCCAGAAGTACATAAACCTTGTAAAGGCTCTTTACTCGAACACTACTAGTCGAGTCAGAGCCTATGGCGAACTGTCATCTAGTTTTGCAACCTCAAGTGGTGTCCGTCAAGGCTGTCCACTTTCTCCATTTCTGTTTAACTTCATCATAGACCTACTGATGGAAATAACATTGTCGTCGACTGAATTCTCAGGTATTGATCTCCTTCCAGGAGGTCCACTTATGGACTTAGAATACGCAGATGATATAGTCCTGTTTGGTGAAGACGCTATATAAAATGCAGTCTTTTGGTAGTGAAGTAACACCAGTGGTAGCAACGTAAAATTCACTATACACTCGTGGTTGTTCCACTTTGAGTGAAGTTTTGTTATTATTACTTATTTTAACACATAGATATTGGTACAAGGAGGCACCAAATACATATGCGCCACACAAATCTTATTTGATATGTGTGAGGGCTGTGACACTGCCCGGGTGCCCAAACCGAAGTAGGTGGTTTTCTTAGGGGGCCAAACCCGGAGCCTTCGACCTGAAAGTCTGATCCACAAGGCAGTGGAGCATCGTAAGGAGATGCAGTCCCATGGTAGCCGGTGACCAACGACGGGTTTATACGCCATTTGTTCCCGCAGGATACTGGAGCCCATGTGCACCATTGGTTCGGAATCACGGTTTTCCAACTCCCCTAGATGGACTCGCCGTGTCTACCGGTCCGGTTAAAGCACCGAACATTCGCTTTTCGTCCTCTCATTTTCGTAAACAACACCCCCGCTGCGAGAAGGCAGTGAGTAGGACTTCCCTGGCAGGTTATATACGCGTTACTTTTTGTTTCAACCAACCTGATTTTCTAACTTACAGAATGATCTAGCAACTTTGGATTAACAGGCTATTGCAATGTAGATAATTTACAGTGTGATCAAGTCTCTTCACTACCTAACAATCAAACCCTACTTCAACACCAGGATCTCTAACGCATGCTGAGTATTATTACATATGGATAAGTTAAGCAACACCAAACTTCCCATAACACTATAATCGTTTAATTGGTAAACTGAAAAAAATGTAAGGTGACGTCTCCGAACCGGTTCAAATAGTTTAGTCGCATCGATTCTCCACATCTCTCTTAAATTTTAAATAAATTCCATTTTAAACTTTCCGTCTGTTGCGTTAATACAGTTTATATAGTGCTTAAACTTACGATGAAGTTGGTATTAGTACCCAATCGTTTGTTCCATTCCTTAGTGTACTAATGTGCAGCAACTCGAAGCGGTAAACATTAGACCGGGTAACTGACCAACAGAAAAGTAGTCAGTTTCTTAGCAAGAACTGTAGACTAAGTAGAGCTTTTCTATTCAGAATATCCAATTGGTGACTCCTCTTGTAGGTGCTGATCAGGAGAGCTGTAACTCGATGTAGTATAAGCAGACATTCCATAGATTAATAATATTTCCCAAGGAATTCCAAAGCACTTCGTAGCTGCCACTTATCCATGAAATCCTCACTTTAGGAGGCAAACTGTAAATGGTTCTGAACATATACGATCTTGATCACTTTAATCGATTCATGTTTAAAATGTTACTGCTAAGCCTGGCTTCCTTAGCTGAAGCTCTACCATCTATTTCCACTAATAACTATCACTAAATTCGAATGATGACTCGCAGGATTATATGCCCGGATACAGGCTCTTACGTTAACAATTATTTTACATGGCTATGTAGGAGGAGAAATTATTCACTAGGAAATATACGTATGTACCACCGACGTGCTGGAAACTATCCTGATGCAATTTTACAATTTACCATCCTATTATTCCTAGTCCAATAGTACAAGTAGTGAAGTGGTCATCACAATGAAATGATATGTGACCTGGATATTGGGTAACAAGATAAATTTTACTCGAATTACTGCAGGCATCAACACGGCTACGTTGATACTCTTCGTCTGATGTCAACAGTGTTAATACTTTAGCCCTACTTTATACAGAATACGCTTATTACTGATTAACAGCATTTCGAACATAGTTATTAACTATCTTGTCTGAGAATCGATACCTTACACTTTTGGAATCAGTAAGAACTGTAAGGATAATGGTCCGTTGGAGTGGAAAGTGGTAGCAATATAAAAATGGCGAGAAAGTTGTGGAGCATCTAAACTTATTAGTCAAGTATTAACTCGGAAAGTATTTAAAAGTACGAAATTCAGTAAATGCGAGGTAGGCTTTACTGAGATTAAAAGAGGAAAGTATGGAGTTCGCAAACTAAAATACAATGTGGAATGTTTCGTTAAGATTCAAAATTAGCAGGTATTAGATTTTGAGTTTCCCCATGCACTTAATGACCTCAGTCCATAGACTGGAATGTTGGTATGCATCATACAAGCGAAATAAGACAAACATGTGACTCAGGTGTGAAGCGAAACAAACTGTACGAAGCTATGAGGTGCCTTGGGAATTAGGGAAGATGACCACAAGTAACGATTAAGTTGAATAGTATGACCTCAGAGTTTACAAAAAGTTGCCGGCATTAAATAAGGGATTGCTAATGTGCTGTATGCAACAAAAGACTCCATGAATAAAACCCAAGATAAAATTTAGGATCTGCTTACTTATGTACCTCTGAGGTACTTTTTCCAAAGTTAGACAAGTGTTTCTATTCCGATCACTACTTTAGAACCACCGATGTATGTAACGTGTCCACTATGATGCTTTCCCGTCGTCCACCTCGAACAGAAAATTACAGTCATGGTATGCATAAAACAACCCGAAATAAACTACTTTGTGAATCTTATACCTTGAAAGCTTTATGCAGCAACAAACAATCGCAGAATATGAAGTGAGATTTGATTTCTCATAAAAAAATTAAAATAATCAAAATGGGTCAAAGGATTGATTACATAAAACACTAAGTGTCGACTAGATAAATGAAAAGCAAGAACAAAAAGCATGTATATAATGGGTAAATTCAGAAATCCTTCTATTAGGGGGGAGGAAATATGTCAGTACACAAATGTACACTAATTACAAGATTGACAAGATACTAGTGTGACGATAAATGCACCAGTGCAATGAATGAACTGAAAAGTTAGATTATGCACAGATCTTAGATTAACTGGAATAGTAAGTTTATTTTATAGAATTATTTACAAAATCAAGACTTTGGTAACCGTCACATCGTTACACAATTACCAAGTTTCAGCAAACAAGCAAGAGATCAAATGCGGTAATAAACGATATAGAAACAATAAAATATAACGAGTTCATAAATAATTCGATTACCTGGAATCCACAACATTTAAAGTACGATATCAGGTAATGAACAGCTGAATATATAAATATTGTATCACGAGCTGTGGCAATTACAACAGAAATGAAAAAGAGGTAAGGTATATTTCACAAGTTTACTAAGTGTGTGTGGTCACAAGCTCCGGAGTTTGAGAATTGAGTACACAAGACACAGGCCCGGCGCATGTTTTTTTGTGGTAATAAAACGAGGCACCCCAACGGTACCGTTTACCACAACTCCCACAGAGGTACTTACCTTCAGCACGATGCTTTCCATCTACATGCTGTTTGAGAGATAGTTTGGAGTTGAACTCCTTGCCACACATGTTACACGAAAAAATACCACCAGGATTAGAGTGCATTAAAGTTGTATCTTTTAGTTGTGAAAGATATTCGGGCGGTAATTCCCGGAAATTTGAAATAGAATTTCTTTGTCGCGGAGATCTGAATCCTAAGTTGTTTGAAGTAGACAGGGCTCTATTAGCAAGATTTTCGAAGACAGAGGACGCCGACACAACTTTTGGGCATATAGTTGCATGCTCAAGGTAGGAAGGGACATTTAGAAAGCTTTCCGTGCATAGGCATGTTAGCGAACAGTTAGCTGCATCGTCTCCGATGACTGGAACATTTTGAATGATGTTATCGTTCGCCAGTTCTTGAGTGAAAGAAACCCCTGGTGCATTCACGAAACGGTTGAACGCGGTTTGTCTCGGTGAAATATGATCGACATGCATTTGGGAATCCTCGACTTTCATAATTGAACCATTAAGACAACGGTAGTCAGAAGCGTGACCGATTTCACTCATACTAATGACCGGACGTTTTTTACACCGTTGCTTGTGATGGTAGTAAACAGGTGGCCAACGGTAGACATTACCACACCATCTGCATTTGTAGCGAGGAGGAAAATGGAGATGCATGTGTTGATCGAGTAGAGATTTGCTTTTAAAACCCTTATAACATTTTGGACAACCGTATGGCTTGTCACCTGACGGACCTGGAGCAGACGATACTGTAGACTGGCGGTAAGGGTGGTAGACATTAGGCTGACCCAATTTCGTACCCGTGATACCACCATCACAATTAGAATGAAGGATGCTAGGTAGAATTCTACGTCCGTCCTTAAGCGAGGCGAAGTTGCGGCGAGGATCTTCCAAGTCAGTAGATGCTACGGGACAATCTACGTAGTGCCTCAAAAACAACGGCAAACGGTTATAAGAGTCTCCACATGTACAAGAGAAGCTCCCTTCATCAGGATGAACACTTTCGAAATGATCCCAAAGCTGTTCAGACGTGCCGGCTGAAAATTTGCATTCTGGGCATGACCGAAGAGATGTGCCATTCGGAAGAGCTTGAACAGTTGGGTTACAACTAATAAAGTTGAACATACATTAAAATTCTCACTTACCTATCGCTTTTGTAACAACACTTTTGAATGTGGGACACGATAAAAGAGAGAAACTCACTGTCACTCCCAACTGGTTTGTGTAGTTGCTTCAACTTGTGAAACTGCTCAAAGACATCAGGCTCAACACTGATTTGCATGTTTTATATTCAAAACTTTTAATATATGAACATGCGAAAAACTATATCATATTCAGGGGCTTTACAAAAGATTCCAGTCCGTACGGCAAAAGTCCGGAAAACGCGCTCCGAATTCTAAATTGCTCAGTAGTGAAGCAACCAACTAGATGTTTAAGGAAAAGGATTGTGATTAAGAAGACGTATCACCTTTGTAATGGTCTTTTCAAAACTGTAAAAAGTGAAAGATCATCTAGTAACGAAATACATAATTAGAAAATGACACATGACGTATTCTTCTCCATTGCCTTTATAAAATAAAGTAAATCTCTGGGATTGTTTTAAAAGAACCAGTCGAAAGCCTCAGCACCAAATCTTCCAGCTTTGAAAATTTCTTTTAACAGATGAATTACAATAATGCTCTTAAGTGTTTTGCGCCTCTTATTACATGTTTTGCTGAAGACCGATGTCGTTCTCAAGGCATATAGTGTCGATTGGATTCCAATACCAAAAGCAATTTTCCGTTGCTTAAACAATCCAGATCATTTTAGGATTGATGAAGAAGGCCGATCGGAACTGGTGACAATGCTGGTGAACTGTGAAGACAGTAATCCTCTGTGGAGGTATACGGATCGCCCATTTAGAAAGACTATTGTCGGCATACTTTTTGGAAACTTTAGAGATGGATCATTTAGGATAAAGACGAGAAAATGTATGTTTTTCAAATAGATGTCCACTACTTACATACCAACACCACAACTTTATCTCACATAATGGATGATTCGCATATACTAGACATGACACTTACGAACAACACCTTTTGGCTGGGGAGAGTGTAATATATTCAATACGACAAGCAAGAGGTTAAATAGAGTAACCGCGCTTGAGTGTAGAACCATGCTATATCCACACTGTTCACGATTACTGACCTCTCCGCCTTAAACGTTGAATGTGAATTTTCGCATTTATCTTATGTTTAGTTTCGAGTATTGCGTGGTTAGAAACAATACCACCATACCTGAAAAGTTGCAAGCAACTTAAAGCCATACGCAATCGCACCGTTTAATCGTTGGACCTCGGTAGGTAGTAATATATATAATGTAAACAAACGAGTGGCAACAGCAGATGGTTAATTAAAAATTAGGAAGCAACACATAGTCCTAAAAGAAGATGAGCACCAGATCCAGATTAACCTGTTCGTAATCTGAAAGGTCAATTCCATCACAGCAGCTCTTTTCGACAAGCCGAAAATGGAGTTTTCCAGTTGTCAGGTTTAATGTCAAAGTTAATCTAGTAGAACAGTATTGTAAAACATTATACAGGTCTCAAATCATCTCCAATACAGAAACAGCCTGATAGTTGAACTGAACCACTGAAATAGTGTATGCAAACAAGAAAATATCTCCACCCTTATATGATGAGAAAATCTTCCACTATCCTGCTAACACTATTTATTGAGTTGTACTTTTATTCACCAGACCAGGCAGCGGTCCCAAACAACTGAAAGCTTGCATCACAATAGGCATTTATGGAACATAAACAAATGAATTTTATGACCACTTGCTGGCAACATTTGCCTCGGTACCCCCCTCAAGTTGATGGAATCTCTGATTCACGCTGGTCCTCAACCACTTATTTACAAAACTCTTTTCACCCAAACAACACAGTTTCAAGGAGGGCCACCAATTTGTCACCAATTAATTAACTGTAGTGAGCAGATGCACCAAAATTCTCAATCGTGGGTGGAAACTGAATGTGATACACTTCGTCACTTTTGAGGTTCGCAGACAGGATTGGTTTGCTTGTTGACAAATCGTTCCAAAAAAGTCGATGGTATCAAATTATGTATCAGAAATGTCTTTTCGAAGCGAAAGCAAATATTATTACTCGCCATATTATTTTGACGTTACTTCATGTAATATTATTTAACATAGCGTTGTTCAGGAAACGACGCTTATTTGGTAACTTAACAATGTAGGGGCACCGGATAAGATGGACGGTCGGTTGACATTACTGCATAGAGAGATGGATTTGATCAGTCTGTGTTGGTGGAGAGTACGGAAAGACATCGTTTCTCACGCCGATTTCTTCTCACTTTGATGGAACTTTCTATTCTAACAGCACATAACTGACTGTTAATGGGGATTTAATCGATTAGTGCTGCCTCAGCTCTAGCGCTTAGTGAGACACCAACGCCAGCAAGACCAGACGAAGATGCCACCGGGTCCGCTGATAAACTTACGTAAAACAAGTACATCAAGCGATAATCTGTCATTCATTAAAGATGTGTACTATAAATGTAATTTTATAGATCCGTGATATCAGTGCAATACAGTAATTTATTATTTCAGCAGATACTATTCTATAAATAAATCTTCTTTTCGACTTACCAAATAATTGATATTTTGTGCGCACACTCATATACACTATGAGAACAAGAGAATATTTATTATTCTTTTATTAATTGGCGGAACATAGATTGAAGTGGAGTTATGCTGAAACTTGACTGATTGTTCACTTTTATTATTATCATTATTTTCTGATGATTTGAGTGCTTTATTCCGTTTCATTGTGACGAACTGTACAACAACAGAAAAATTAAACGCTTTTTATAATAAAAAATGAACTATGATAAACAATTGCATATATATATATATATATATATATATATATATATATATATATGATAGAAATGTTCAGAATAATTAAATATTCTAAAAGCTTTTCAACTGATATAACCATTACTTAAAACGTCACAGTAAATTATAGATCATTACTAGATCCTATGGACTTTTCAAATTTTTATTTGTTTGCTGTTGTCATACAGCTGAGGTGTCATCATAGACTATCATCAGAAGTAAACACACTAATCCAGTCAATTATATCAAGTCTTCATTCAATAAAAGCTATTATCTAATATTGACCCATGGTATACAGTTGATATAATTGTTTAAAGCTTACGCCATCAAAACTTTGTTATTCGGTATCAGCTAAAGAAATACGAAAATATAGAAGCAAACAAAGCGAATAGTGAGTTATCTCGCATTTGATTAAAGTGTGATTAGTATATTCATAATATTTTATATAGAGTTTTCCTGTGTTTCGGAGATGACTTAGTTCTACAGATCAGATTTGCAGCGAAACTGTTAAATTAATTTATTCAGCATGTTAATATAACGTATCTGACATCTGATTTTAATTTCATTTACACAATATTTTAATTGTTTTGATGGTTAGCCAATATTAAATGACAATTTCGGAAAACCCCATATTCTACAACAGTAACGATGATCAAAGTTAGAAGTGAACTATAGTCATGACAGTACGCGAGCTTGAGTTGTTTAATGTGCTAGACCATAGGTTTATCAAATAATTAGTGATTATATTCCTACTTAAATAAACTATATAATATATTTATTAAATTGATCAGTTTAGTTTTACTTCTTAGAATGTTCTATTTGGAGATCTTTCGTCAAACAATACAACAATAAGTATAAGAACTTAACTCTTGAGAATCATTATCCGAATCCATGACTGAATATAAAATCCATTTTGTCGGATCGGTCAGCAGGTTATTTGAATTAACATTCAATTAACCTCAAATCATCCTGAGCTAAATGAAGTTTATGGGTACGAATAAAGGACAACAATCAAGCAGAAACAAAAAATAGGAGCACGTGAATCAGTTATATCGGTCATAATTGAAAATCTTAAATGAAGCTTCAATAAGTCAACATTTTGAATAATAGAGTGAAAAATTCGTCGAAAACAAAAAAAAATCATTGCACTTGTCTCTACCCGCTGGATTCCGTCACGTTCACATCATCGTCAGTCATTTGTAATCGACAGAATTTTTTGAAAAGCCCTCAGCAAAATTGAAGTAGTACATTTTGTTACTTTTCTCTATTTCCAACTTTCATCTGTAGAATTATCAATAACACGATCGATCCTTACAGAATCCAGCCTGTTGGTCTCGAAGTTGGGTGTCTACGGAGTCCTTCATTCTGTTTGACAACACTTTGTTGAAGACCTTTCCTGGTATGGAGAGAAGAGTGATGCCTCTGTAGGTATCATAGTTGCTGAGATCGCCTTTCTTTAGTATTTTGACCAGGAGACAAACATCTTACAAGGTAAAGAAGAGAACGAATTCAGTAGAATTCGAAACCTAATAAGAACATCGAAAATCTCTTACCTTCAAATATGAAATTGAGGTTAACTCGAATATAGTATTTCTAAAAACATTGATATTATCCTTAACACGCTATCTTGAATTTTTCATCAAGCCCATAAAACTGACTCGTGTCTGAATTAGTTAGCACACAAAACACATCATTGCTGTTTAGCCATTTATTACAGCGTGTTTATAATTCAGTCAACTTTCACTAAATGATGGTGTTTTATATCAGAGAATATTAATTAACCTGAATATCAAAATATTAGGAATGGTATTACGAGTTAACTCATAAAATAGCAGCATTTTTTTCTGAAGTGGATAGTCGGAATAATAACAATCTTTAGGTTCATGAGTACACATTTGAAATGACGTGATGAAATGAGGTGATTCCGATACAAAGTAATCACTTTCACCGACTCATATTTTATTCCGTTGTAAGTAATCAAAGTAGTAGCATTGTATGTGTTTAATGGATAAAAAACAATGGATTTGTCCAAACATACTTTATTTGTTATGAATGAATCAAGTACTTCAACAAGCTGGCAATATACACGAATTAATATTATTGAAATATTTGGATTTGGATTCAAAGTATTCGTCTTTCAGTAAAAACACTATTAAACGTTTTTATAACAGTGACAGCGTTTATGGACACAAAGTATTATAAGTATGAAACAAAGATATTTGACGATGCATTTTTTTACCTGAATTTCAATAATATTACATCAACAAAACCTTCAGGAAGTAACACATACGATTAGATTATCGCTCACGAATACCGAATCTTTCAGCTTTTGGAGACCGGATTTTTTGTAAACATTGAGACAATATTAAGTGATTAAAGTTTACAGAAACTGTTACCACAAATCAGTAGTCTTATCAGTTCTATTTCTTCAAAAGTGACACTTGATTAAACCAGTTACTAGACGTTAAGATGTAATGCCATCAAAATTTGTTCAACTAAATAAATCATTGTACATAACATCTAAATACGTAATTCAATAACTTATAACATGCGTATACATCAGTTGGTTATTCATAATATTTTTATACTTCAGAACACATTTGTTTACAAAGGGTTTCTCATGCTGGCAAATGAGGATTATTAACACATGGTTATTTATTGTATTACATAATAACTTTCGTGTTAGTAGCAGATGAAGGATGACAATGGAATGACATATTTTTAAAACATTTTGTGTCTGGATAAATTCTAAATAAAATCACAACATAATGAAACCAGGAAGTCAGTTTAATAAATATTTGGTACATTGTTCAAATTACATTAATCAGTCCACATTTATATATACATACTGAAAATTATTCCAAAAACTACTGAGTTTAAATATTTACAATGATATGATAAGACGATGAGATGACCGTAATAGTTTGTGTATTAATCAATCAAGTGTAGTTCTGTTTATACTACTTTCTGGTTATTCATATATTTAATATTTCTCGTTTAAGATTGTTAATCGCATGTACAGTCTTGTTTCTAAGCGCTGTTCCTGAAGAAATTTGTTTGATGCTTTTCGTCAACATTATCAAGGAACTAAATGACTGTAATTTATGGATCGTATAAAGTAGCAACGATTGTTGAATCAGAGGTGACTAATAATTAAAATAACATTAAATTACTGAAAATCACTATTTGAACAAATATTCATTAAAAATATACGAACTAATACGTTAAATAATAAACATTTGGATTTCGAAACTATTTTCTCTTGCATGGGATAGGATGCCTGCTCGTGAACTCGTAACTTATTTTCAATATCTAGCAATTTTGTATCAGATTAGTGAATGACTAATGCATAATGACTAAAGCCTAATTTTCACTACAGGTTTCACTTCAAGCTCTAACTTTCACGTTCTTTGCTTTTTTCATTCGGCCGGTTAGGATGCGCTATAGTGGGATATTTACAAAAGATATATGCAAATGGCTTTAGGTGATTAAACTAAAGTCATCTATGAAAATTAAATTCTTATATGCGTTAGTGACAGACTAGGTGAACGAAATCAATACTTACAAATGCTAGATATCTCAATTTTATTGAACAGTAAGGGGATGGTTATACCCGCATATGTTTTTTGATACCTTATTTCAAAAACTTGCAAATGTTGCGAAAATATTCTATAGTTACACTTTCAAATGAGTAGTGATGCTAATTGAGCTCTACGAAAGGTCTCTTAAACCTATCGTCATTTTATTTTATTTAGGTATAAAATGAATGTTTGAGTCCATTGAATTTATGATAGTAATTATAAAATATGTAGTTAACGTATTTATCAATTTTTAACTGTGATAACAATAAATATGCAGTCGAAATTATCAGAGAGGAATATACCAGTACTTTTGATTTGTAGTGACCTATTATCAATTGGTTTAATGGAAACAATTATTATTATAACCAATTGTACCAGTGATTGTTTTACTGTACTTGTTTGTTTAACTGTACTAAAGAAATCCATTATTCTTTCATTCTTCCTTCCGTTGATTGTAACCTTGCACGAATTCGGTTGCACTCAGTAGCCACACGTACTCCTTTGGCACGATCTCGGTATTATTTCAATACCATGAGATCGCCAATAAATACATCTCGACTACAGCCATCGATTTCCTTCTGATATTTGGCCTACGGGAGATCTTATCGATTAACTGGCACGTAGTCTTCCTATAGTGGTGATCATAGTCAACCTCGACTCGACGCCACAATACAGATTTTTGACTTCTGGTAAACTGTTTGACACAGTTGTGCACATGATTGATCATACCAATGAGTGCTATGAAGGAGTATCTTGCTGATTTATTGAGCGGAATTTTCGATTATTAAAATAGATGGAAATAATGTTAGTCGGTGGATGATAATCAGTGATGCCATATCACCCTCTTCCTGTATAGCCTACATAACAATTTATCATATTATTCATAGTATTAATAATGTTGGTAAATTAGATCAGTAACATGATTTACTTATTTTACGAATATATTATCATCAAACCAAAAGTTGTTTTCATAAACTATAGATAATGTTGCACTTGATTTTAAGTGAAATCACGTATATTTCTATGTCATCTCTTAAATATGTATAGGTTAATCATACTATCTGTTCTGTAATTGGTTATTTAGTTAGTGATTCAGTTACTGTTTACATAGATAAATGTACGTGCATTTCAGATATATGTGCTGGAATTTTTTTAACAATTAATCTAGTAGATTACCTATAATGATGCTGTACATATATATCTTGTTATTTATAACAAATGTAAAAGGATCAGGAAGTAGGTTATTATATAGTTTTTGATTTTAATGATTTTCAAGTGTGAAATGCTCTTCAAAATTTATCTATCATATCACATATCTTATGAAAAAATGTTTTTTTTATCATATAACTTAAATTACTTTGATAGAAATTTTAAACAGTAATAACCCAATTATGTTTATTCTGTAGATTACTTAGAAGTAGGCGATGTTTGTGAACTAATTTGAACAATGTCACGGGTTGAAATTTTCTTCTTAAAATTGAATTCTGATAGATGTTTGTTCATTTCGATGTATCAAATGCTTCTTGGCAGGACTATAATTTATGGACGAACCAATCAGATTTATGATAATAGGTCTTGGAATTCAGAACGAAATTTATCCTCTCATTTGGATAAATATTATTTCGGCATTATGATGATGTCACTTCGCGTCGAAAACATTAAATCTAATTCTTAATCCTAACCATCAATTGTAAATCATAATTCTAATTCCTCACACCGGTTTAGAACGCTCATTTAGTCGTAGTTATTAGGTGGACATTCTCAAGGTCACTTTAGCGTCGCTCAAATGTCATCCATAAATTATGGACTCACCTGCTTTTATTTATAGAAAACAAGTTCATTGACCATTGATTAATACAATTTAGTAAGGTAAGATTTAAATGTTTTCCCTTAATACAACTTGCATATTGGATCCATCTAATCGAATGGACGCAAATGATGTGACTTAAAGCTTTTACTTTCTGAATTTAAAATGTTAGTTTTTTCCAATTTCTTATCGACTTACAAACTAAATGAACCTACCGACATTTGCCCTATTATTTCATTAACTGAAAAAGAATATCTCAGTTGAAGCGTCTGTGTCTATTGAAATGACCATTTCCCTGTGACTACGATATCCCAGAAAAATCTAATATAATATTGTAATTACATTCTTTTCATGTCATGTTTAATAAAGAATACATAACGGTCAATGAATAAGATTTAAAGTGATACGAAATTCGACAAAATGTTCATTTCCGTTCTTCTTGGATACGGTTACATTCGTTTTTTCGGTAATCGTTAATAGGTGTATTATGTAACACTACCTGATTTTATACTACACGACTGAACTTCATTTTAGGATACTTTATATGTGTTAGTATATATTACCCATCATGGATTCTAAAAACAAGTATTTATAGAATAATTCAAATGTTAATAGACGGTAAAAATAGTAAGACAATTTAATTATAAATCATATTGTGTTTAATGCTAGAGTCCCTCTAGGGTTTTCATACTCATTAGAGTAAAATAATTTTCTGTAAGATATTGTTTTCATTTATTAGTACAATGGTGTTTGTTTGTCTACTTTCATAATAAGACACTTCATTATGTAAAAGTATTGATAACGGTTTGATTTTAATAAAATATTAGGTTAAGGTTGATGAATTAATTTTAGATTTATGTATGTATTGCCGGTTCAAGAGAACAAATTCTATGGTTAAAATAAACAACCTGTGAATGAATATGCCTTATCGGGTTATTATATATATATATATATATATATATATATATATATATATATATATATATATATATATATTTATTTATTTATTTATTTTTAGGATTTCCTCAATGCTTCCAGAATGTTCACAGTATAGCGAGTTTTATTGGGCCGCAGTATTCTGGAAATGTGTACTTCACAAAGCATGGCTCAAGTCTCACAGTAACTGGACATTTATCAGGTTTTCCACGATATACATGGTTGGGTGTTCACATACATGAGTATGGTGCATTAGGTAATGGATGTAATGATGCCGGACCACATTTTAATCCGTTTAACAGGTAAACATTAAATTGAAAAATTCTTTAATAAAGTCTATATGAAAAATCATAACTGTACACTTATTATGTGAACATAATTCCAAAAGAATATATCATCTCTGTAGACATCATCGAAATATTCACTTGGATTACTCAAACGACAATATCTTCGAGTCAAAACAACTTTTGATCAAATTAAAATGATGAAAAGAGATAACTCATTTTTATTATTAAGGATAATTATCTATACTGAATAAGTTATTTAGTCTGAACCAGTGATTTGATTGTCGAATTATTCCAATCATTATTCTTAGGTATAAGCTTTCTAAAAATTATTTGAACACATTAATGTGTATTATCAATGATAGAATAAACTCTTATTGAGGTTCAAACCAATGGTAATCATTATATCATTATTTCATCTCGTAATACAAGAAGATACTCAATAATTAAAGAAACGGAGAATAAATGAAAAAAAACACATCGACAATTCAAAATAAAGTTGATATTGTGGAATCTATGTGTTTTAGTTTGTGATGCCTTTCTTTAGTTCAGAAGGTTATTTCATCTTCATTGGATAAAATAAATTCAGATAAATTGTTTATGGATTTAGATTTAAACAAGCGTTATCCTACAGTAGACATTTACTTAAACAATACCACAAAATATCTAATATACTTCTTATACAAATGATTTTCTATCTCATATGAAGCAAAAATCAGAGAAACTTTAATGTCTTAATTTCAGTAAGTGAATATTTAGAATAATAGTATAAATGATTTAACCAACTTGTCATTGAAAACAAGCTAAACACAACAAATGAACTTAGTGTGTTTCAACAACATTATGAAATCTGGAAATATACTAATTACAAATGGATGATTATTTTTTAAATATTTGACATTGTTGTTTACTCATACTAAAGTTATTATGTAACAATTTTCAGTGACCATGGTGGACTAACAGGTTCACCAAGACATCCTGGAGATTTCGGAAATCATTATGTAGATCAAAATGGTATTTTGACTCTTGATTTCAATGTTGATATTTCTTCTATTACTAAATTTAATGGATTTCTTGGAAGAGCACTGGTTATCCATGAGAAAGAAGATGACTTAGGCACAATGGGTAATGATGGAAGTCGCAAGACAGGCAATTCCGGAAAACGTTTAACATGTGCTGTAGTTGGTGTTTGGAAAGCTCCATAAACTAGTTTTGGCTCATTTTTCATATTTATTTAAAGTAAGAGAAACTCAGAACGAATTGTTATTTACCTAAATCTAATCTATCAAACTCTATTGGTATATGGTTTTAAAAGTTTTTGTGTTGGTTCATTCATTTGTTGAGCAAATCCAAATAGTATTAAACGTTGGACAGTTGATAGTAGCAATAATGTTATTTTTACTTTTATTACACATTATTTATGGCTAGTCTAGGGTTGATGAGTACTGTGGAAGTATTGATATTATATTCTTTATGTTTCCATTGTACTATTTAAACTTGGATTAATTTTGATTTGGTTATTTTCTCCTGAAGAAGTGGCTTACACTGAGTCACGAAACGTCAGAAAATTTAATTTTTCTACTCATTGAGATATTACAATTATATTAATTTATTTATAACTTGTATTACTGTTTTGAACTATTTAGTATGTATCATTTCCAATTGTTAGATGAAAAGCTACTTCCTAAAAATACTTTCTAGTATTGTGAATCATTTCAAGTCACATGTTTACTCAACGTGTTTTCATATTTTCAATAAAATTAGTTCAATGTGACTTCAATTTTCTTTTAAAAACTGAACTCTGTAAAAAGAAACAATAGACCACCTACTTTTATAGCATTTAAAGACGATACCATGAAAGAAGCTTAAAATAGGTTATTTGTTTAAGATCAATTGAAGTTCTTTTATTGATTACATTAGGTGTAAATAGTTAGAAACTTTAGGTGAACGGCTTGATCATAAATTGTTGACCTAACAAGGAATTCAGCACAAAAAGACATATCTAGATGTGTAACTGTATTAAGGTATCACTTGATGTGCATAATTACTGTTTTTTGTAATTTAAACTTAACGCCATTAAGAGTGCATTACTGAAATTTTGGTCACATGTCGATATCTATTTTCTTATAGTAGAGCAGATTGTAGAGAATAATGCACAGATTCATGTGGTGTATATTGGAAGATTACAACAACCAACATTGATTGAATAATGTGTTATGAATTGTTTGCCTCATTCAGACAGTCATTTCTAGTACGCTTCTACCTCTGATTCTAAATAGTATTGCGAATAGTAGATTCGGAGACTCTGTATTCAATTTTTGTTGGTAGTTGCTAGTTAGTTCTACGAAAGTACTCATTGAATACAGACTAGATAGATCATGCTCCCGTTGGAACATTTTATAAGTAGAGTTGATATTGCTCTTCAGAGAGAGAAATCAAGAGTAAGGTACTTTATACTTTTAAGAATGTTTGCGATGTATAAAGCGTTATTTTGTTGTAAGCTACGCTATCATTTAGAACGATAATTTCAGTTATTTCGCAAACTTTAAAAGCGCAAGCATCTTGAAAGTTCTTATACTTTCATTATTGGGTTTTTTTACTTAGCTTTGAATTTCTAATAACTACACTGTCCTACGATTAGAATGTCATTCTATGTTGGCGATTGATGCTAAAATAATTCTGTGCTTTCTATAGTGATAAAACAATTACATGAAAGAAATAGCTAACTGAAAACAAACATCAATATCAAATATTAATTCATTATAATCTTGTATAAAGTAGTCAATAGACTTCACTCATTCTCACGGAAATTCGAAAACGCATTCATTTAAAGTGAATGTATAAAATCTGTGTTTATTATTATCAACATTTTCAAACTTAACAAAAAATATTTCAAACTGAATCACTTTAAATACCTTTGAATATATATTTCAATAGTTTGAAATGAGTTCGTCTAATCAAAAATGAATTAAGACTAACTTTAAGTGATGTGAAATCTGTGCAAAAACCGACTATCAGCTTCAATTGAGAATAAAAATCAATTAGTTATATTTTTGATTGATGTTTGATTTGTCTTCATCATGCAATTGATTTTTTTTTCACTATTCTTTACCGTAGTTACTAAAATTTGCATTGACATGTGACTAGGAATGAGTTAATATTTAGATTGTTCTTTCACATAAACACCTATAATGTAAAGTTGAGCTGAAGAAAAATTTTGCCAACTTATTTAAAACTTAGATTATAACCCTTTGTAGCCTTGTACAACACTGTGAGCAGATTAAACATGCCAGTGGTAGATTAACATCGTTGATGACACTTCTTAGTTGATTACATGATTAGTTAGCTGTATACAAGGAGTTTCGTTTTAAATAAATATCATCTCGAAAGCTTATCTGACCAAAATTTCTATCTTCTGATTTATGTTAAATCATTTGATTACATAGGGTAATAATTCACTGAATATGGTATTTCGAATTATTTGAATTATAGTACGAACTAAGAAACTCCGAAATAACTCAATTGAATCAAGAAATACTAGATGAGCACAAACGAGTGTATTGTATTCAGAAATCGAAACCGAGCATTCAACAAGTACAATGGTATCATTGGTTCATTCAAACACAACATCCGCCATATCTTAAATAGAAGTACAAGTGTTTGTAATCGGTTGTACGTCTTCTTGTTAAGTTCATCCTGTGTCTGTCCGACAGTGTATTGGATAGAAACTCTGTAGTATCTAGAATGTGCTCATTAGTATTGGAATTCACAAACGAAATAGGGACAGACTCACCTGGAATTGTATACAATCAGCATGTCGGTTTTGTACTGCAATCATTAATATCTCGAATTGGAACCATAGATTTTTCAACACTATCCTCCCCCACGAAATAATGTTGGATCTTTACATCCCCAAATTATGAATAATATGGCTTCATTTAAAACATATTTCTCACATTGATTAGAGTATACATTGGAAGTGGATTTGTGATAAGGATGAACAGCAGTTGGTATGAAATCATCCGAATTGTAATCAAAATTGAGCTCACTTAATACTCATGCTTCGCATTGAACAAGTTTTTTACAAGGATCAAATGCATTATGAGGATAGGTAATATATAATATGACATCAGGATTTGATTCTTCTGAAATCTTCTCATGAAATTCATTAAGAATACCACTACAGAGTAATGGATCATTAGAAAAATTAGCATCTATCAAAACTACATCAGGTTTTCGATCATAATTATGTTCACTCAACATATTTTCTTCAGATTTGTAAGATGTTTCGTCAGAAATATGTGAATCATTAGGAGAAACCGTACCTGGTACAATAGCATGAGAATTCCGATAAATCGATCGGTTAGAAACTGTTGTTTCGCAAGAATTCTGAATTTGATTTAACTCTGAACTGCTTTGTGACTCTACACTGTTTATTGCTATCGTTGATAAAGATAAATCATCATTATAAATACTCGACTCAGTAGCATCAGAATTACAAAACTTAATATTAGTTGCAGCAAGATGAACAGTAGTATTACAGACTGACTGAATATATCCAATATCATCACATTTAAAGCACTTAGAATTACGAAATTTACATGAACAAAAAGAGTGAAACTTGCCACAGGACAAACATTGACCAAACTTGCGCCAATCTTCGTGAAACGCACTGCAACTCCTCAATGAATTATCTGCATAACCTTGAGTATGCACTGGATTGGGATGACGTGATGTAGTAGAATTTTTGATGTCCTGATGAATCATTTTAGGAAATTCCCCTTCTTTACTGCAATCAAAATTTGCATACTTGACATAGTCCAGTAGTAATTCCTTGAAAGTTGTATAAGGAAGCGAAATGGACTTTTCCGGCATAGTCAGAGTTCTTAATAAGCTGTATGCTTCTTTGCCTATGAATGTGAGGAAATATGTCACAATATTAACATCCTCATCATCTTCCTTGGTCATAGCCCAGATTTCGAACCTTTCGAAACAATCCTCAAAAGCTTCAGAAGTTGAATGAATATCTAACTTTTCCATTGAAAGCACCATCGCGACGTCAATATAATGTTTCGAATTATTTGAATTATAGTACGAACTAAAAATCCCCAAAATAACGCATTGGAATCAAGAAATACTAGATGAGCACAAACGAATGTATTGTATTTAGAATTCGAAATCGGGCATTCAACAAGTACAATGGTATCATTAGTTCATTCAAACACCACACTGAACCAAAATGATAAAAAACATTTGAAAAACCATCCAAGTTTTATTTTCCTTCATACGTAATTAATAATTATGACGATATTGACGTTTATAATTTGAAGTATCGATAGTTATTGTTATTTGTTGTTTATTTATTATAAACACACTTTTTCTGAGTACTTGAAATTAAAAGCAAATTCGTCAAAACATCCTATTGCTCTTGTTAGAAATCATGTGTATGATTTAAAAATAAATAAAATGCATAATACAAGTTCATGCAAGAACATCAACCACAATCGTAAAGTAACTATGCCATACATGAAAGTATGTTGATTAAGTGCTAATCACACTATACATTTCATCAAATGTACGAAGATCAAAAATAGTAGTAGTATAGTATAAGAACGAATAGTTTGACAAAAATTTATGTGAAAACTATATTTGAAATAATCTCAGCGATTGAAGTTTAAATAATTCCAACGTTTTGTTTAGCAAACTTGTCTGGACTTCTGCCCTGAAGACGTCAAGACAAGCTTGCTAGAAAACACGTTGAAAATATTTAAACTTCAATCGCTGAGATTATTTCAAATACAATTTTCACATATCAATTTAGTTATGTGCTTGCTAAAATAGATGCTCTGCGTGAATATCAATTCTAAAGAAGATATACCTAATGTTAACAAAATACTTCAAATTCTTTCAAAAGAGCGTTCTTTGGATTAATTATGAGGTCAGTGTTCACAAGTTTATCTGTGATTCCTAATAATCTAAAAAACAAGTTCACTTATCTGACTACTTTGATGTGTATTCATCAATTCATTGGTTCCAACAGAGTCGAGTACATTAGTTGTTTAATGATAATTCTATCCAGCAAGTTGATGAACACTATCCTATATGGTTAAAAAAAGATAGCAGTGGTTTATGTAAGCAATGATGGATACTGACTAGAAATGGAATCCAGGACGCGCGTTTCGTCCTATTTGGGACTCGTCAGCTGAATATACCTGCAGCTCAGAGTTGATATTCACTCTGGGACTCGAACCCAGTACCATTCACTTCAAACTCCATAGCGTTATCCACTCAGCTAATGAGTCCTGATGGCCACTTGCTTGTGCAATGGGGTGAATTTGAATTCACTTGGTATTGTTTGGCTTGTATCTTCCTACTGAGGTTTAAGACTGTAATTGATCAGTTTGTTATTGGCATATGTGCAGATTGTGCGTATGCCTCGATATTGCCTTAATTCACAAGCTTTTTGTAAGCAATGATGATAGCAATGAAGATAGCAGTGGGTTTACAAGAAGTTTCATAATAGAATACTTAGTGAGCATAGGTCATTCAAATAAAGCATACCCGCTATTCACAGTCGTCTACAGAGTGAATAAACGTCATCCAAAGATAGCGTACTTTCGTGCTTCTTCCGTTGTTAACGCCTTTGTCACATATGAAGAGAACCGTATATAAACCTTATATAAAGCAGAGAAATATATTTAGTCTCTTCTGTCATGTGTTTAAAATCTATTTTCCTCTCTCTTCTCCTAGTGTATTGACTTCTTCATCAAAACA